AAATTGGTTTAAAAGTTATCGAAAAGTTATAGATGGCCTGGGTGCATTCTTCCTATTTCGTTAAAATGCACAAGGACTGCCAGCTGCATTTTCACTGAATGATGTGAATAGACCTCACTTGCTGGTAGTCTCAAAAACCGACTTATAAACGAAAAATAGGTAATTTTGTTGATTGCTATAGCAAATACAATTTCGTTTCATCCACAACCTCACCACAGAATGTAATATGGGAAAATGCCTAGCCTTCTTGAAATGAAATACTGCCCTGTGACCCAAGAGAACTCATGGCAGTTTGGCGTAACGGTTAACGTGTCGAGATTATATACTACACTATCACGGTTTGAGCCTCGTTAGAGTTGTTAAAAAGACCTAGGTGAGGTCAAAACTGCAGTCCATTCTGGATGAGAATACCTTTTGGGAAAGCAGGGCTATTCAAAATTCAATGGTAAGGTAAGTTCGACTCATACCATTGTGAGAATATTCAACTACTGGTCCTTCATCACCTTAACCAAATAGGTTGAATACATCTTATATAATTGATGAATTAGTAATCTCGAAAACCTACTTATAAATTAAAGAAATTAGCTCTAGTCACGTATATTTCTCAAGTTGCAGCGAAGCGAACTAACGAAGGTAATAAGGATTCTCAGGATAGAGGCTTAAGCAAAGCCTATATAATCGAAAGATAGAAATGCATTGTAAGAATCTAGATTCGATATTCTTACTCAAAACAGTATTGTATCAAATTTTATGGCTAATATTCTGTATGGCTGTTTATTAGATTAATAAAACGGCAAAAAACATAGAAGAAGTCTTATTTCTCCCTGTAACACGCAAAAATGTATACTTTTCTGGAGTAAGAAATCTGAGTCAAATTTTTGCCCGGTACAATGAGTTCAATATATCCAGAAAGCTGGGAAGCCTACCTCGTTGATGATCTGAAAGAAGGCCTCCATTTGGCGTTTTGTTTCGAATTCATGGAAATGATTGAAATCAAGTAGCACTACCTCTCTCGGATGGGACTCCAAGAAGCTGCGCACCTCGCGCAGTCCGTCTGCTACAGAGCCAGCATACTGATTGTGCACGAAAGCGAGTCGAAAGCTATCTCGACGTTCGAGATTAGGGCCGTTATCCATTAACAATACTCCGTTTGCAAGCGGTTTGCCAGACGTGTCTCTCCCAATGGCGAGTCTTGGCCAACAGCTTCCTTTGCTACCGGCTC